ATTATAATACATTGTTTTGTTTTTTTATTTCATTGCCCCAGTATTTGTTGAAAAAGCAACAAAAAATGTCACTCCCTGTTTTTACCCTATTCGTGCAAGGTGTCCGATGTATAGATGAGAGATGGACAGACAGTGAGAGAGAGACTGATATGCCTGAGATCTGCTCATCTTCAACACCTCTCCTCCACAGGTGGCTATCTGATACTAGTTTCTCTTGCTTGCTGATTTTGGCTTGTAGCTTTTGTCCTAACATACTCTTTACAGACTTTTCAGAAAAAGACAGAAAGATCCCTGACACATCCAAAAGCTTTCCATGCACGGCGTGGCTGCTGTTTCCCAGCCTTACAACAACAGCTCAGCGAGTGCATGCAAACAAGACCTCTACACTCAGCTCCAACATTTCATATCATAACTATTTTCTTTTTGATGGGGAATGTGTTTCGCCCTCCCCTGACGCTCAGTCCCACTGGAAACCGTGCACACACACACACACACACACACAGACATTTTACAAAACATTTGGCAGTGTTGTTTAAAATATGTTACAAAAAAAACCCTGTTGCAACTGCAAACAGCACGTCTTTCATTTTGTCACTCGGCACCACACATCTGCACGAAAACAATTCACAGATAAAGGCCGAAGTGACAGTGTGACATTCAACAATCCTTCAATCTGTCTATCTGCTGGATTATAACTCAAAGTCTTACAAAAGACTCCTCTGACACGCAATCAGTCATAACTGTTATTCTATGCCATATGACAATTTCATAATGCATGTAAATAATCAGCAGGATCACGCATGCCTTTCACAAATACTTTAAACACCTACTATGTATCTAATACACCTGAGTTCCCGGGGAGCCACACCTATAGGCACTTTGCACAGAGTTTAAATCCATCTGTAAATAAGACTAAGGGCACAACTGTATAAAAAAAAAAAATACATGCGTGCAATATTATGTGACGTTGATGTTGCTGTTTATTTAGACAGGTTGTATTTAAGTTTGTTTTGAAATATATCTTCAATACAGCTTTACTATCAAAGCTCATTTCTGCCATGAAATAAAATATAAAAAAGTTTTTATCTATCTAACTTTTTATCTCATATAGTTATGACTTCTTTTTCTCGCAATTGTGAGTTTATATCTCACAATTCTGCTTTTTTTAAAGAATTCTTTTTTTATATCTCACAATTGTGAGTTTATATCTCGCAATTCTGACATATATATATTTTTATATACTTAAAGGCAGAGTAAGTGATTTCTGGTAGCCAATGTTGATATTTGAAATCACCAAAACAAACA